TGACTATAAAGTCAAACAAGGAAGACAAAAAACTAGACTAGACGACTGCTCATGATGGGTAAAGAAATAAAAAATAGCTTGGTTGGGAAAAACTGCAGAGAAAACTGATGTTGGAGTCTCAGGGTTCTCAAAACTTGAAGCTTGCAAAACTAAAGAAACGTTTTTGTACAAAAGTAGGATTCATGGTCACCTCTTAGTGTCGTATAATGGAATACGGTTGTAAAAGCGAATTACTGTATGGCGTATCGGTGATCTGAAGAGAACGCGCTTGTAGCGAGGTTTGTAGGTCTTCCATTTGACCTATGAAAGGGTAGTGAGTGTGAACCTCTGAGTTTCAATATTAAGCCTAAAAAGCTGTTCAGTGCTCCCGAGTTTTCAATGGTTATTTGTAGACGTCAGTTTATAATGTAGGCAACCTTCGTAAGAAAAATAAGATCGTTACCTGAACTGTGTATCAACGTTCCCAAAGACCAGATACTAATGTTAAGTACAGTATTCTTTGTGAACATCCGCATAATATTTCAAAAATGGATTTGATGAAGCTAGAGTAAAAAGTGATTATAACGATAACAAACTTAAGGTTCATCCAGGGAAGATAAGGGATTTTTCTAGAGTTTTCCTACCTCCGATGTCAAACGTTGTTTGAAGTGTACTACCCACTAAACATTAATTTCAGATAATTACAAACTGTGAAATATTATCAAAAATCACAATAAAAATGATAGAAAATACCTTAAAATTATTTTAAAAAGTGAATAAGTTTAAACTTATGTTCAAAAACAAAGTCTGATAAGCAAAATATAATTGCTGTTTACTAGAACACCTAGTGAATAATAGCGTTCTGCTGTGTAGAAATATACATTTGTCAAGTTCAAATATCAGTGAGGATAGTATCATTACAATAGATTTAAACTAAACAATATTATGATAAAGGTAAAATTTACACAATAAACAATGTTATTAATTACTATGATGCCTAGTAAACAGTAAATTTAAACCAGAATACAAAAGGTAGATGATGAATTTTTTAAGAAAAGGAAAACACTTAAGTAGGAAAAGAATATAGTTATGACTAATAGCATACAACTTTATCAATTATTTCCACTAATACCAAAGCCTATATGAATCTATAACCAGAGACTTTATGCATTGATGTCATATCAATCCTAAAAATATAGAATTAAGTGTCATCTTAACTTTTTACATGTTAATTTTATTCGTTTAATTATCCACTGAACTCAATATTTATGAATTCTGTTGTACCCTGGCAACGACATCAATTGTTGTGTCTGTAGTTTAGTTAACTGATCTAGTACTTATTAACAGACATCGTGGATCGGGTAACGCACATAGGAACATGAAAACGTTAGATAATAATTTATTTAACACCTAAAACTACAGTAATTTTAATATGATTTAGTCAGATTTGCGAGAGCTTGTTAGTGTGTATCCAAATTTATGTACATTAACCTCAGAAGTACTTGACATTAACTGATGTAATAATGTACTCAATGAATGTTAACTATCTATGACTCACAGATATAACTCATATGTTTACTCATTTTCAAGATGTGATTACATATCATAGACAGTTGGAAAAAGAAGTTCATACCGTATGTCAGTCAAACTCAGAGCAATTAAGTGCTTATTCGTCATATCAATTTTTGTTTTGTATGCATATCGTTAACTTCCACTTATAGTGTGCTACTTTATGACACGTGGCAATGTAAATGATGAGAAGAATAAGGTATTAATTCATTGGCGAATGAGAAGCCTACATAACTGACACTGCGATTGCTTTTCAACATTTGGTCATGTTTATTTCGTGTTAATATTTTGTATATAGGTACGCCGTTTTTTAGATTAAAAAATATATTTCTTCTTTCTATTGGTCAGTAGTCTTACGTTTTGATCTCTGTTCATTAGAGCCTTACGTCTCGTAAGTAGTCGTCACTCGCTCACATTATACCATTGGATTTCATTTATTCATCTTAACAAATCCACTTCTGATCATGATATAACAGTGATATGATACATAACCACGAATGAACTGATTAAGTTTATCCATGTGAAAACCTTACCAACGAATTTGCCATTTTTTACTCAAGTGCTTCAGCATAATTTTAATTAGTGGTTAACAATGGAATCAAGGAGGTGTGTTTCAGCTAGCCGGGATCTCTTCAAATAAATTTGTCTTTATCTCACTGGGACTCAGATCCACTATTTATCACTTCAAACACCAACAAAATACCCACTATGTTAATGAAACGTGATAACCATCCTTTTTTCAACATAGTAACGCAATAATAATACTAATAATAATATATAAATGGACTGTTTGAAATATGCATAACTTTATCTGTAAGCCTAAAATACATTGCTATCGTACACTCATTTTTTGAATAAATGTACATCTCATTTGAGCCCATGAACTTATACAAAAGTCACGTGAATCTAATCGTGGAACGTTTATCAATTATGTACATCTTTAATGTCACTAAAAGTTCGGCATAAGAATACAACTACTACGGCTTAAAAAAAACCAACTTAAACCCGTTCTCTTTAACGTACCTGTCTTGAGTATAAAGAAAAAACATGCACATACATACACACACACACAAAAATATACATATACTCATGAAACAGGAAAAAACATTGTAAAGTGATTATGTAAATTATGTCAAAACAAAAAGACGATAGTAACAATAACATAAACTTCTAAAATATCTCTTAATTAAAATCTTTAGTAACCTAGATTTTAAATCAGTGTATTTTAAGTGGTTGGTTACCATGGAGACAAGAAGCGTAAGCAAACAAAGCAAATGCATTGGTTATGTAAACACGATTACGAAACATATCCATTTTATGCTTTTTTGAGGTTTGTAAAGTATTATCCTACATTCAATGGATCATGAATGTAGTTGTTTGATTGCTAACGCTTCAGCGAATTTCAAAAGGTTCGAGTTTGATTGTTTGTTAATCCCTTGAAGGACTTCAGTATATGTTTACTAATATTCGTTACTCCCCACTAAAAAGATTTCTTTAGATGATTTATGAAATTTAAAATTAGACTTCGCTAAAAACGACATCAGTTGAGGGAACCAAAATGCACTGGATAGTTTACTCTTTCGCCCTAACTTGAGGACTTTAAACATTGCTTACTTACAATTGCAAAGATAATTGAATCTAAAGCCCTTATACAGTGAATAAAAACTGGATTAATCCGTACAATATATTGGTGTATTTTCACTTTGCTGTTTATTGAAAAACGTAGTCAAAAGATTAACTATAGTTATCTAAATCGTGTTCAATTTTCTGTAAGTGTGCTGCATCCGTTACTCTCGTTCATTTTCCCATTTATTCAATGAATTAGTGCTAAGTATTGGAATGAAGATTTGATAAGGTTTCAATTCAAGCCCTTTACTTTCCCTTGAATTGATTTCTCTCTATCCGACATGATAGACTAAGATACTCTAACAAATTCATAACAAACAAGTGAGGATAACTTCAAACAGTTGAAATGAAATGTTTAATAAAAATCACACTGTAATATGCAGCAATAAAAAAAGTACTAGATGAAGCACACTTATTGAATATTGAAAACGTTGTGAATAACTTCAGCCTAAAATGTTACCTATATCACTGACCCTTAAACGTCCTTTCATATTTGAATATATTATTGTCTAATAAAATAAATTATGCGTAATGAATTTACTGTAGCTTATTAATATAAGTGCAAAAAATCTCTGAATAAATTGGATATCATATTGTCTGTTTAATAATACCACATTGAATTGACTTATTTCACGAATAATAATAATAATAATAATAATAATAATAATAATAATAATAATAATAATAATAATAATATTTCTTGTTCATTTATAGAATCTGATCATACCATCAGTCTGTTAAATATAATAAAAATCGGTGGATTTCTTGAATGAAGTGCTCGAAACAATAATTTATAGTACAAACATATCAAAATAGCACTCATTTTAAATCTGTTATTAAATCTTAAAAACTGTACGGTTCTTTTTTATCAATCGCTTGTATTATCCCATTGTTGATATTCAGGACTGAGCTTTAATCAACCTATGTTGATATACCTTCTTCGTGAGTACATTGCTATGATAAAGCTGTTTTGTAACAGATTTTGTAGATTGTATGGATCGTAGCTGGTAGTGAGATTCAGAACCTGCGTTTCTTCTCATTCTGAATTTGTCAACTGAATATTCCTTTGTCCCAGTAAGACACGAACTCAGTATCATTGATAAGTCAATGCATTACCCACTAAGCTACTGAGTTCAGATATTCACTAACTTATTCAAAAAGTATTGTGCTTATTGGTAAGGGTTTATATCACCACGTCGATATTCAGAACTGAATTAAAAAATTAGTTAACTTTTCCATTACAGACTTCTTTTCAGTTTTTATCAGTCCACTATCTGTCGCATCTATACGAAGAATAAACAATTCGAATATGTTAGGAAACAACAGAATGGAGAAGTATTGATAAAGGAATACTGGATCTGAAACAATAGAAATCGTTCGTGAATCTACACCATTATTATTGATTGTGATCCATGTCGTCCGAACTGTCCAACTACTGATCTTGATTATCACACAGGCTTCAATTAGGCGGTCTGCATCTAGCAACACGACTCAGACCAATAGCCAATAGCTTTCAAGTATGAAAACAAGATATTCATCTACTTTTGTTTTTTAATTATTCTTTCCAATACTTTTTCTAAGTCATTTATCGAATACAGGTTTATGTAGTCCGCTTTAAGCCACACTTTAGTTGAGTAGTTTACTAGTGCTACTACTGCTTGTTGCCTACACCAAAATTAGGTAGATGAAGGGGGATTTGAACCCAGCACATATGAGTGTATAAAATCACATATTCACATGAATCCATTTCTACTGAACCTCCGAAAATGTTACTATCACAACGAAGATAATCATATTACCAAACATTGAGATACAATCCAACTAACCTTTCAAGTGTAGATCTTTCAGTTAGAGGTGGATCCACATTGCCATGTGCAGAATCATTGCGATTTATTGACTTATTATTAATACGATTGTCAACTAAGAACAAAATAGAAATATTCTCTCCGTTTATTATTAAAATTAACCTTCATTTCTTGGTGTACTACATGAATTATGGTTGTTTAAATCATTATTTTGTTGTTGTTGTACTTCAGATATTTGTAAAATTAGTTGAACAAATGTTGGAATTTTGATTCGTTTAAAAATCTCATCATCTTTCATTCTATAATCTACAACAATAATATTATCATCAATCGTTCTGGTCATTTCTTTAAAGATTTACTTTCACGAATCTCTTCCATTTTCTTTAAGTATTTCGATAGACTGGCGCCTGTGTCAATTGTTGGTTGAATATTTTCATATTTTGGATTTCTCGGTATTGTTTTCTGTAATGGCTGTAATGTATATTGAATCACTGAGTAATAACTAGCATGATATAAATTGTTTTTTTAGCAACAACAAATTGATTTCTTAAATGAGAAAAAAAATAACTGGAGGTAAAAGTCACTTGCCATCATAGTGTTAACACTCTATAAGCTAAGTTAGAAGGAAATCTCCTAACAGTATACAGTTTAAAATCATAGTAGAAGCTTGCAGGATTTGCGAATGAAATATGTGATGTAATATAAGTATTTTGGTTATGTACACGTTATTTTTAAGGAAATAAATAGAAACAATGTTTGAGAAACTTAAAATCATATAATTTGAAGTGAATGCAAATTTGTATTTCACAGTTAGATAACTCGTTTAAAAAGAAAGAATGTGATGAGCTATGGTGTATGCTACTTATGTCTGTCGAAATAAGTGATACAAAACACCATCTAGAAGTGGAATGCCTGGAAGCAAAAGGTTGAGAAGATCGAGTTAAAGAGAACAGGAATGCTAACAAAGAGAAATTGTAATAACAACAGGAATGAATGAATCATGAAGTTTGTAAGATATAGTTGATGGAAGATATGTAAATGAAGTATTTAATGTATGGTTTTCGGATTTCAGAAGAGAACTCTGTAATTTTTCACTTGACAGTAAATGTGATTTTCTGAAACTGAGTGTTCGGTCGCTACAGAGTAAGTAATCGTTGTCAATAACTTCTTCATCATGATTTATGGTTACAAATTCATAATAGTTGTATTACAACGTCCAAAATAAGACATATATGAGGAGGTAAATTAAACGATCGTTCCCTCAAACATTATTTGTTTTGGAACATTTTGTGGAGATCTTAGGAGAACCTAATTATGTGCCCGGCCCTATGTTGTACCTGGCTGACTAATTATTTCGTGCAAAAACATACTACATTCGAAAGAAAATGGTTTTTAGATAAGTGGGAGAAATTCAACACAAAACAAGGAGTAAGCGATTACCGCAGTCGAAAAACCTGTGATGAAAGTTCTTAAAAAAAACCAATAAGTTTATGCCTAAGAATATCTATAAGAGTGAGCTAATGGAACACTAAATATTATTAAGAATCATAAAACACTAGATGGCTGATTAATTCAGCTTTGCAGGTCAGTAATACTTATTATTAACGCCATATATAACCAAGCTTTTGATTATTAAGGTTCGAAGCAAGCACTAAAAAAGCCAGTTAATGTACTAGAGCTCAATTTTTCATATCCTCTAACTTTAGTTAATTTAGAGCTAATATATGAACTAATTGAGAGTTTTCAAAATAATTTTAGCCTCTGTAGGTGGAAAAAAAGCAAATGAAGTAGGCAATTCACTAACATTAGCCATTCGAGCAAAAAATAGAAAATTATTAGTGCACGGAGATTTGTAGAGATTGTAAAACGTTTATGGTTCAAATGACAGACTGATCTTAGCTAAATCACCATTGATAGATGAAAAGCACTGGATAGCTATTTCACCCTAGCATGGGACTCCTTATCAGTTCACATAGACGACTCAATCGGGAATCGAACCCAGGACCTTTAGTCTCGCAGAGGGCACGTAACCTCGAGATGAATGAGTTGTCACTCAAAGGTTTATACGTTCAACTTCGATTAATTCACGATAGTTCATTATTTTCTTGTGTTACCTGAAGTTGACAGCTATTTTATGTTCGACGACGTTAAACTCTATTGGCCACAGATTCTCACTAGAATTTCAGAATCACTTCTCAAAGGTAGTTACTAGATAAAACCAGTTCACGATTCAGACTGTGAGGATTGCGAAATCTCCATTAATATCTCTGTACTGATAATAACCACGTGTTTACTATTGATTAGCTTCAAGATTCAACTCTAACAGCGTTAAATGGAAAAGTTGGATACAAACAATATAACGACTGTGTAAAAAACCCTAGTAAGATCGTAACTCAAAAATTGAGTTTAGATCCAGAATCCTTATTTATATGATGACTTAGTTGTATCCGAAAAAAGTCGTAGAGGACACCTACTTGTGCAACTACAGGGTCCCAAGGCTCACCATACACAGTACCGCTTGAGAGGTGATTAGGAAATGGTCAGAATTTGATGTGTAGAACACAAAGAAATAACTTTGAACCTTATATATCCTCTCTTTTTCTTCCTAATATATCAAAAAAATTCAGAGGACAAAGTATGAGAGTTCAAAAGCTAAAGATGAAGAATATCCTTGAGGTATACAGCCTTTCACACCTAGTAATCAGCTCTTGAAACCTAAAGGAAGGAACAGTACCAACAATTCGAACTAGTTTGTTCAATAATATGCTAGACACGCATAGGAGCTTGCTGAAACAAAACCAACTGTGGTATTTGTACTAAATGATAATTCATTCGTACTTGATTGTCCGTTGATTACGAATGCTAAATATACTGCATTCATTCGTGTTCATCTAGTTCTACCTGCATTAAATCTAGCTATTTTGGCACTTCTTAGCTGGCACATTAACTTGCGTACTTCTAATTGTCATACTAAGACAGGCAGTCTATCCTCAACATGTGAATCTAAATCGGTAAAGTGAACTGTAACATTTATCTTCTACCACAGTATGTGGTGTCATTAAGATTCACAAGTAGTTCCATGAAAACTTTGGACTTTTTTGTGTTGAACACATAAACCCTACAACTAAAAACTGATATACAGACGTTTTACGACAACACATTATTGTAAAACGCAGTGTATACTTCGTATGTTGATGAATTTCATGTGAACACATACACTGATCTATAGACTCAAAATATAGAGATTAGTATCGTGAAGAACTGAATATTCAAAAGTGACATCGTAATTACATACATCTTTTAGCTTCTTTGGTATCGGCATGTTGCTATGGTAGAAAATTTATGTTTAAATTTAGCACATGCAAAAGTAAATTACACTTTTAAATGACAGAACAAAATGACCTTTTACACCATAGAATTAAGTTGCCTATTTTCAAGACACATTTGATCTTAAAGATGTCTACAATTAACATAATGTCTTAGTTTTCCATGGGTTTACATTTAGTTAATTTGATTTGATATATCCTGGTAATTTTCTGTGCACTGACACACAACAGTTCAAATATTTCAAAAGATTGTGGGCGGGATAGAAGAGGCTACCCCCAAATGTGTACAGCACCTGGGAGCAGCGGGTGGCTGGTGCCGCTAGATTATTAACAAATTATAATGAAACACTGTCATAAGTCCTTGAGAATACATCAAGCTCCCTGTTGAATGACTCCTAAGGAGTTAGTTGCACTACCGCAGCCGACAGCGGATTCCAGAAGTTGAACGCTCGTAAAGAGTAGAAATTGTGATCACGGTTCAGTTTACTGTGTCCCACCTTTAATTTCTGAGTGTTGTACCTAAGTTTTGTATTGAGATTGAGATTAAGTAGGTATCTCGTGGGATGTGTTAGCATGCTACAAGTCATTTGGTCAGTTGTGAGACTCTTACACTCTACTGCGTTGTAATCCAGTGATTTCAGGAACCCTTCGCTAATTTTATATTCGATTCTTCATGAAGACGTTGTAGATCCACTTTATATACGTTCCAATGTGTTCCTATCCTTTTGGAGGGAGGGAGGAAACGCTATATTTCCATCCTCTCAGTGTGGTCGGATAAAAGCGCTAACGATTAAATGGGAGCTTCTTATGCCAAAACTGCAGAACGCTTATTCAATGTCTTCAGAGCATGGTTTACTTGAAAAAACCTTTTTGTTACAGAGTAATACTTTAGATCATAACGAGCTATGACTCCTGAATCTTTTTCCCTTCGGGACACCATTGGATGAGGAAACCATCTAAATTGTTTGCGAAGTCTGAAACATATCTAAAATAGACTACGTGCTCTAGTATTGAACGTAAGTCTGTTGTTCGCCCAACACTATAGTTGTATCAGATCGTCTTGACCTACCAAACTTTCACTTTGTTTGAAAACCCTCAAAGATCAATATTGTCAGCAAACAGTTTTGATTCAGAAAATACTTGCTGGGGAAAGTCACGTGTGTAAGTCAAGACGTTAATAAATCCTAGCACAAAAACGGATACAACATAGACTGATCGTAATTAATTCTTTATTTAAACACATATGCAATGAAACAAAGGGATATCAAATCATATGCACCAGTCAATAATGTTTAGTTTGTGATCAAATACAGAATATGGAGTGCGGATAATAAAAAGAAGAACGACAATGGACAAAAACTAGTGTATCAGAGCGAAATGATGATAATAGTGGTTATAATGATCGGAGAGTCAGGTCACTTGGCAAAAGTGCAATCAGAAAGAAATATTTCAAATAGGGCGAAAAAATATTACTGCAGGATTGTCACAAACATTTATCCTGAGCCATATTTTATAACGTCTACAGCCACTGTGTTGTAACATCTCTAAGACTCCAACCAATGGGTCGTGAAGGACCAACAGAAGCCAACCCTTTGCAAATTTGTTTCCCCAACACCACGTCATAGACTGACCACCTCTCCGCTTCTTCCAACCAGTCCCAGAGTCGGCAAATAATGCACGACGTGGAATTATCTGGGACGACATTCGGAGAACATGTCCAAGCCACCGAGGTCAATGTTTCAAAGTAGTGACAACAATTACATTATCGTCTCTGCGCCCGAACACACGATGCCAAACCTCTGCATTACTGACATGATGTTGCCACTGGATGTCAGCAATCCTTCGGAGACAGCGATGATCGAACACAGAGAGTCGTCTAACATCCTCAACTCGGAGAGACCAGGTTTCACAAGCATAAGCAGAACTGCTCTCACCGACGCGTTGTAGATCCGACCTTTTACAGCCAAACTAACATCACGAAGGCGCCATAGATGGCCCAGATTGGCATAAGCCGCTCTGGCTTTCACTATTCGTGCATTGATCTCATCACTCACACCCCCACCAGCACTTATGCAGCTACCCAGATACACGAACTTCTCAACTACGTCTATCTGCTCACCATTCAGGGTGAGTACAGGATTGGAATCTTGCCAGTCTTGTAGAAGTACGTTCCACTTCGAAGGTGCAAAGCACATACCATACCTACGGACACTGGTTGCCAACTGATTAAGTGCGGATTGCATGCCTTGGGCATTATCGCACAGTAAGACAATATCATCCGCAGCAGACGCACACTGCCATTATTTACATCCATCAAAGCTGTTTCCAGAATAGCAAAGTTGAAGAGGAATGGTGAGATTGGGCAACCCTGCCTAATCCCACTAATCGAATGGAACAGTGGAGAGAGGTGGTTGTATCCCTCACTCTACCTAAGGTGTTTGTGTGTATAACTTCTAAGATATTAATAAACTTTTCGGGTGGATAATCTCACAGAACAGTAATCACGATGTTCTAACATTTTGCGGAGGGTGAAGATAAGATCAAAATATGTTCGACCACAATGAAAACCAGCCTCGCGAGTCAATCTTTCTTTTTTGAACGACCTACGATGCATGACGGAAGCCAATAGTTTGGATGCAATCTCAAGTGGACGTGTCTACCGACAGTTGTTGTAGAAACGACGTGAACCCTTTTTTGAAGACATGGGTAACTATCAAGTCACTCCACGAAGTTGAGATACTCTCTAATTGCAAGATCTTTGTGAACAACTCAGTCGGTTTCTTAACCAGAAAGTTACCAACATTTTTAAAAAGAGCCGAAAGTAAGTCGCTTGAGCCTGATGACCTGTGGAGCTTCAAGAGTTGAAGTTCCTTGTCGACTTCCGCCTCGTAAGGTGGATCAGTTATCACAGATCATGGAGTGTAGGGCAGTCCTTCCGACGTGGTTGGGACATCAGACCAGTTAAATTATTTCCCACAAAACTCTGACCATTGTCCAAGGCGTCGGTAGATGTTACTGACTGACATCCGTTCAGCTTCACAACTTATTTCACTCACACCAGACATCCTGCTGACGGTGATGCGGATGAGCTGTAAGAGCTTCCGACAGTTACCAGATGTGGTTGCTACTTCCAACTAGTAGGCACGCTCCGACTATCAGGCCTCTCGATCCTTACGCAAGCTTTGCAAAATTTCATTACGTAGCGAACTTCGTGCCTCAATGAGTTGAAAGTAACCTGTACAAACCCAGTGCTTAATAGCGGAAAGTTTCACGTAGCCACAAGCGACTTTATTCGTCATTTTCATAGCGTCATGCAATCGCAAACAATTCTCATCTATACTTTTCAGTGGAATGGTAGCTAGTCGAACTTGAATCTAGCTCACTTTGATATTTAGTTGCAACAGAAACTGCAATCTGTTTAGTGACATCGATCCATTTGGGACGATGAATTCGTTGGCCACTGAAAAGTAAGGTGAAATAGGTGCAAACAAGGATATAATCAGAGTCCAAATAGGTACTCCAAAAGAAGCGACAGTCTTGTACACAATCAAGCCAGCGGTAGCTGATCGCGATGTTATCATTCTGAGTCCAGGATTGAGATACAAGGTGAGGACATCAGGTAGCACATCGATGATGACTGTGACGATAGTTATTGCCAGACAGAAACAGGTCGTTGTCTGCGCAAAGCGCCAGTTGACGGTCACCGCCGTTATTTGACTAGTGACCAACAAGTCCCCATCAGCCACCTACCTAAACCACTCTACTCTGTGCCCAGACGACCGACCTTAGCATTCGAGTCTCCGGCTAGTACTATAATATCCGTCGAATGCAGTCTTTATAGAACAACACTTAACTGGTTGTACAAATAGTAATAATAATATATATTTCTGTATGCGCAGGTACATCATCATTCATCGCATCCGGACTGTAATCTGTCAGGGTTTACACCATAGGCGAGCTGCTCAAGGAGTTGAAAAATGACGAAATCTATGAAATAGGAATAAAATAATAAACAAATGACTCAACGTAAAAGGAAAGCGATTATTAACAAAAAGTTCTGAGTACGATTTGGGTGAATGGGAATTAAAGCTTGGGTAGTTTTTCTAACAGTTCTCATCACTTGGATTTTGAGTGGGTGCGTTCGACCTAGAGATCCAATCCACAAGGCATTGGACCAACGTTAGGAGATTAAGTCCGATGGTAGCCGAAGATTAATAATAGGTTCGTAGTTATTTTTTCGATCAGGATCATCAGATTCATGTGAATTACCGGTTTGGAATCCATGCTTTCCAGATACTCTACGTGTATCGTCTATGTTCACCAACCCGGTTAAAGCGTCGGACATTCTCTTTTCGTTTTCTCAATCTCGTAAACAACACTATCGTTGAGAGAAGGCAGTCAATAAGACCTTTTTTGAAATGTCTTTATTGAGTGACTACGTGAGAGTCTCAAGAGGGAAAGAGAGTCCCCTTATTCTCGGCCGTTACAGGACATTTGAGGGCTTGAGGTAATTGATATCTGTGACTGACCTTATCATAGGCTCTCGTTAAACAGAGTTATATCACATCCGATCAGTTCACGAATCGTCTGTTGAATGTGATACGATTAGAAGCAACAGCTCAGTCAACGAGTGTATTTCTCGAAAAAGAAGTACGACATATGGAGTTGAGTCGGTATAACCAATTGAATATTCAAGAAAAAAGTTTCTAAACTCAGTGAAGAAGGTACTTTTAATATAAATGGAAGACGGCTATCGTTCCAAACTCCCCGACTATCAGACATTCTCTACTTGGCCTCAAATAGAACGATGATTTACACAGATTATCAATCTCATAAGACGTGTATGGTCATTTTTATCCATATTTTTTTAAGTGGCTATAAAAGACTCATCAATAGAACTACTGAACTTGTTGTTTTCGGAAAGTTTTACACAGAAGCATCCGAGCTAATGCTCACACTAAAAAAAGACAAAAATAAATGGTTCATGTTGTTAGCAATCACACTAGTGGTTGTCAAACATCAACAGAACATATGAATGTATGAATCCCTGAAAATCATGCTAGCCTACACGCACGCAACCAACCCTATGCGCTTTAAATACAGAATGCCCTCTAGATAGTATAGTATTACAGGATGATCTTAGCTCATTGGTGGCATGGTTGGACAGGTGGTCACTAGAATTAAATCTTAATAAGAGTGTGGTGATGCAATTAAATAACCATTATGAATCGTATCACTACACAATATGTGGATTTGTGCTACCCAAAGTAAGAAACTATAAAGATTTAGGAGTCATATTAAGCAGTGATCTCGAAACCAATAGTCACTGTAAGGCTGCCGCTGCAAAAGGCTATAGGGTACTATGGTATATTCGTAGGTCTTTCCAGTATTTAGATGATGAAATGTTTAGACTATTAAACCCGATTTATGTGCGACCACATTTAGAATATTGGATTCAAGCAGAGACTCCCTGTTTCAAGTATGAAGCAGATATGCTGAAATTCTAACGACGAGGTACTAAGATGGTACAAGGTCTGTCTGGCCTATCTTATGAAGACAGACTGAAACACCTTAACTTATTTCCGCTATCTTACTGTAGAATACGGGTGATCTAATATTGGCTTACCGTATACTGAACGATGACCTTGGTATTAACATGTCTTATCTTTTACTTCCGTCTAGGACTGATCATTTGAGAGGACATTCGAAGAAAGTTCAAAAACTTAGATCAAATCATTTACGTCTGGAGTTTCGTTTCTCGCACAGAGTAGTGAATTGATAGAATTCCCTACCGGAACACATAATATCAACACCTTCTGTTAATATATTCAAAACGAGGTTGGACCTACACAGTTCTGCAAACTGCAAGGATTAATATAGGTCGGTCGACCTCCTATCCTTATTACTGAAAACTGATCTTTAAGCCGTTAAAGGTCTTGTGAAAGATTGCGCAATGGTGTTTAGATTTTACTCAGTTTTCCGTGTTTTCACATCAGTGTTCGTCTCATGGATTTACAGATGTCAAAAATTTGATTTAGTCCCCAGACTTTCCAAGATTATAATTTCAGACGACCAGTCCTATATGAAACGTTCATTCGTACTAAGTTTGTGCGCGGTGATTGAAATAAGATCACTGCTACTTTTTAGAATGAGGGGCTATGTCGATAAAATAGCTATGTATTCGAATCGTATATTCCCATTTCTTTCCTTAGTGTTCGGACGTTAAGAACCATCACGATCGTGATGGTTCTTAATTAAAATGGTAGGCTGGTCAGTCTTCTGTCACTCCAGAATTTCATAATTTCCCCGAAAGTTTTGGAAGTTTCACCAAAATAATGTGAATACTTTGGGAGAAGATTCAGACTAGGGGAATTTTTGGGCTTTCAGTCGCACTTTTTGTCTATTGAAGCCTTAAAATTTATCACTTAAGTGATAATAATTTCCCCCATATCCGGGAAATTGGAGAATGAGAAATTAAGCTTGAGAGTTTATTTTAAATGCTAATAGACTCCCACTGTCTGTGTAGAGAAATCAGATACTGTGAACATTCGTATGTATTGTCCCTTGTATAATTTCCATTAATTCCACATACAATCTTGTGTGTTTGATAGTCCCTCTTACTTTAACATTTAGTATTGTACCGTGTTATAATATACCCGTTACATATTTGGCGAGTCTGCCAGAATGCAAACGTCTCAGTGGCAAAATGTGGGCTTATTCTTAGCCATAATTAATGTAGAAACAATAGTTGATGCCTTGTAATAATTTTATATTAGTAATTCAAACTCTTATTCTTCACTCATTTAAACTCGTAATTTAACAGCCATCACATACATTCATTACTGGATGACTCTCATGGTAGTAAAGACATTAGAATTGCAACTATTATATCTCGAGTTCAAATTTTCGTTCCACTTTCAATGGAGCAAAACTGTGTAGTGTCACCAGCCTTAAAACGTGGATGAAATAAGTTATGGAACGTGAGTTCGGTTGCCAAGTTATATTCGGAAACAATATTTTCGGAACTTTTAAGGCCAGTTGCTTCTGTGTTAGCATCTTCATTATAATTCTGTTTTCGCTTTCCTTACAGTCATCTGTCTGTATTTTAGGAGACATCGGACACTGAATTTAGTGATGAACCTTTGCTGAATAGTAATGATTCTGCATCTGGCAGTTTACCAAAAGCTGTGGCTAGATATGAAACAAGCTTGTCCGAAGCAGCACTTAACTGCAGGAAAAACTACAAATTTGATTTGTTGGATCTTTTGACAACATCTACTAAGTCAAACCAATGTATGCTTGGGATCGATGAAGCTGGAAGAGGTCCAGTCCTTGGTAAGTAAGAGGATTATTTCATCCTTAAGTCATTCACTATAAAAGTAATCATATTTAATAAAGTCGAATACTTTCTTTTTCTCTTTCTATTAATGTATAGGCCCTATGGTTTATGCATGTGCCTTGTCACCAATAAGTCGGTTGAATGAACTAAAAACTATTGGACTTGCTGGTAAGTATTCATATGTAATGTATCAATACCGATTAGTATCATGCGTATGTATGAATTTTTAATGATTCTGTTCCACCTTTTCTTTCTGTTTCACTGAAATTCAGATTCAAAGACATTAAATGAAAATCAACGTGACAAACTTCTTAAAGAGATGTTGGATAAATGTGATTGGATATCAGCTGTCGTCCATGTGATTAGTCCTGTATACATTACCGAGAAAATGCTAGATAAGTGAGTGTATTATCCGGTTATCAGTATTTGGTTTCATTTTGTCTGAATCATGTTCGAAAGGTCGGTTGTCTTGATTGTGATCCACAAAAGACGATCTGTAATCTGTGATTCAACACTAGGTAATGTGTCTTTCAATATTTTAGTAATAAGATCTGGGAAGAAATTGGTGAATGCAAACTGATCACTTTTAAAAGTTCATTACCTCCCATGTGTTCGGCCATCAGCAACATAAAACTTTGTGTAAATATACATCAACTGAAGTTGTAACATTACTTCAACAAAACAATAGGAAGTTGACTAAGTGAAAAAACAAGAACACTTATACTTACCGTATGCCTTCATAAACTATCTTCCATAGTAATACAGCAACTAGTAAGCCGAAAATCATTCGCCAATATTTTTTTTAAACTGCTGTCAATGTATCATATAAAATCTTCAAAATAGTTTTACGTCGCACTGAATTATGTCACTTAGATTGTTTTTCTTTGTTATCAGGTCGAAAACTAGTTTAAATGCTATATCTCATGATTCGGCCATACAACTTATTCAATCAGTTCTTGACAGTGGAGTAAATTTGGTTGAGGTAAGAAATGTAATTCACATTATAACTATAATCAACAATATATTTATTATTTTACTATTTCTATTTTCATTACCACATCTTTTGGTGATTTGCGTGCCCGTTTTTCTTCCAGACTAGGTCATCACACTATCTGGTGGTTAAAACTCAGAAAGGTAAAGCAGAGTTAAAAAACTTTTGCAAATTTTAACTTAGGTTACTCTTTTAAAGAACAGACCTATTCCATCTCTAATGTGAGCATTAAAAGAGTTTTCCAACAGCTTAAATTTAGTTTTACCTATTTTTGAAATAATCAACTTAACGTGCTTACTCAGTTGCATTTCATTCTGTATAGCTGACTTGTGAAGTATTAAAAGTCTAATGAACTTGTATAATAAACGGGATGCATTCATTAAGACATTAAATAAGAAAGCTTAGTTCAGCGAAGAGTTCTCTTTTCGGCGGATTCATTTTCGAAGCTGTACAATCGCAAATATATATACTTATTTTTACAGGATGATAATAATACTGACAATAAACTTCTGTTAGACATGGTGACAGTGAAGTCAAATGAAAAAAAATGGGGACCCAGCTGTGGAAACTTGATAGTTGGCTATTCCACATGGGTTTCCTGCATATAGGTCTTCTCAGAGTACCATCTTGCTTTCCCGTCATTTTCACATCAAGAAAGTGAATGTTTTGTTTGTTTTCAACTTCTAGTGTGAATTTTATTACTGGGTGGCAATTATTAAACGTCTTTAGGAGATGACTCAAGTAAGATTTGTTGTCACAAATGATAAGCTGAAACCAAACAAAATATTTACTTTCTTGATGTGGAAATGACAAGAAAGCAAGATAGTGCTCTAAGAAGATCTATCTACAGGAAACCCATGTGGAATGGCCAACTATCAAGTTTCCGCAGCTAGGTTCCAGTCAGTAGAAAAAGAAGCTTAATAATAACACTCGCCACAAGAATACTACGAATCTGTAGTCCCGAAGTTATAGATGAAGAATTGGCCTCTTGAGGGAGATACTTATCAAAAACGGTTATCCTTTGATATTCATTGATAAGAACATGAGGCCGAGAACTCCGAAAACACAAATAATTACAGTGGAAAAGAAAACTTTATACATGAACATCGACTTCAAGGGTGACAGAGCCATATATATCCTGAGGAGGAGAATTTATGATTCCTTAAAAAGAACATTCTTCGCAGCAACATTGCGGATAGTATTGTTCAGTCGACCATTGTTCACTAATAATCTTAAAGATAAATTATCGCATCTGACCAACTCAATGTTCATTTACCAATTTACCTGCCCATGTGGAGCTATATATATAGGTCGTTCGATGCGTACTTTATCCAAAAGAATTCAAGAACATTGTCCGGCGTGGCTAGAAAGAGGAGGCAACGGCTCAATAAGAAGTTCAATAATCGAACACCTTGTGAACACAGGTCACTTAATCAAGACAGACTCTGCGTTCAAAGTCATCTACAAAGTAAGTAGGAGTCTTTCAAAGACAGTTAGACTGCATCTTCTTTGCATCGCGGAAACATTAGCCATACATCTTGAAAAATCAGGATTGTGTGTATGAGACACTGGTACAACCTATTCTTCTACCATGGTCTTAATGTTTTTTTTTCTCTTTTTCACACTCTTCTTCCTTTACAGCCGTCTGCTTCACCTTCCATCCTCTACCCCCAACTGGATCATTTTGTTTTCACGATCATTCTGATTACATTTAGTCTCAATTTCAACATTTTATCTTATCATGCTGAGCCATTCTTTCCCAACCATAATTTCCCTATCTTTTGATGAATACCTAAGCCACTAACAATCAAACGATTATTAAATTTTCCTTGTTTTAAAAAAATTTAATATCTTTGTTTATTTAACCTCGCTGTCACCATGTCTAACAGGAGTTTGTTATCAGGATTATTATCATCCTGTAAAAATAAGTATATATATTTGCGATTGTACAGCTTTGAAAATGAATCCGCCGAAAAGAGAACTCTTCGCTGAACTAATCTTTCTTATTTAAACTTGTATAATCTCTTCAGTATTCAGTATAATATACTTTGTGTATTTGTTTAATCAATATACTTTTCTTCTGCGTAGGCCTTACTATGTTATTAGAAAATAAGGGTAAGCTCTCGCAACGTCCTAAAGGGATTTTCAAATTTTCTGTTACTTCAAATCTTTGCAGAGACAGTTACTGATAGAGAATCATGTTTTTCCTCGATTAATCTATTGCTTTATGTTGTTCATGTGTATATGTATTTCAACCAATCAGGTTTACGTTGATACTGTTGGCAAAGCTGAACATTATCAAACTAAACTACAAAATCTTTTTCCTCAATTAAAAATACGTGTTGAAAGCAAAGCTGATGATATTTATCCAATTGTGAGTGCTGCTAGTATCTTCGCAAAAGTAAGTCCATTGATTTTTTTCGAATAACAAAATTTTCATTGTTCTGTGTGTGCTTGTGTATGAACGGATTCATTTCAACTTTTGTTTCCTATGAATTGTTTTTCGACCCTATCCATTACATAAAAACTTTGTAATATTAGTAGTTTGCGTATAAATGTGTCATTCTGTAATTAAAATAAAAGTCAAGTTATTTTGCCCAATTATGATAATTAAAATTATTCGAATTATTGTACGAACTGGGAATTCTCGGAACAGTGTAATTTAAACCAAGTGTGGTGCATATATATTTGGCTCACTCTTGTACCAATATTTATGTGTCCAAATAAATAACTAAGTAAATAAAAATTTAAACCAAACAGAATTAGAGGAGTACAAACAAACGTATTGTCTTTGGAATTCGAAATTAGCCGAGTGATCAAGTACAAAAGAATCATCAGTTCGTACAAATACCACACCTATCTATACAACTCTGACTTAAATCTGACTCGCAAGTTCTATTATTTGACACTTATTACACTCCGACACTGTCTGTACCAGACTACAAATATTCAATAATTTATCTGCTCATTTCATTTTATTAATGCTTGAATGAATCAACAAGTGAACAACAATCAATCCTTCCATTAAAATTCGAGACCTCAAAATGTTCATGTCATATCTTAACATCACTTATAGATATTGAAAGTCTGCTCACCCAAGTTCGTTACATACTAGGAACTTATAACCGGAGACGAAATCTTGTGACCAAACATGGTGAACTCGTATATGATAATAAACACCTGTTTCTATAGTGTTGCCCTATGCTTAAATATGACTGTACCTCTGTATATTGTAAATCTGACTTTCATCTACTACTGCTCGAATTACTTATTTATTTGGCTTAGAATAAATTGATACTCGTTATTTAGACATTATGTGAATAATTATAACGCGGAAATAAAAAGGCGCTTTTCCTCAGTCTAGATAATTTTTCAATGAATTCAGGTTACTCGGGATCGAGTTCTTCAAATGTGGCCTAAAGAAGAACGTGGGAGTGTACCCGAAGGCACTGGTCTTGGTTCTGGCTATCCAGGTGGTAAGTTTTCATTTTTTATGTTATATATTAAAGATCGAATTTGTTATATTTAAATTTTACTCCCTATCAAGCAAGAATACATTTAGTCAATTATAATTGTTTCAATTGATTGTTATATTTGTTGCAATGAACGTATGTTATCGTCTTATGATCTTCATTTCTTGTTCGTTCATTAACTGACAAGAAATAACTTATCAAGATTTAATATTTCGACTTATTAAACTATACCTTGAGGTCCATTTTATATAATCGCTTTCGGTTTAGCTGAACTATGATTGCTTGATTTCTAAATCTTTTCACTTGAAATTTAAACATTGGTCGCGTCAGTAAACTGTATGTTCGATTATCGGACTTTTTTGTTAAGTCACTTAAGCCGCCATAACATGGCTAGTGAACTGTTGGATAACTCGGATCTTGTTCGACATGGTTTAGAAGTAACCTCAATATTGACATGCAGTTGTGTTTTCTCTAAATTTTAAGCTTATTTATTATTTCGGGTCAACAATTAATCGACAGTAGTTCAGTTTCCTTACTACCATAAACTTTAAAAAGAAGATTATTGGTTTTAAAGTAATGCAATTAAGTATCCCATGTGAAGCTAGGTGAACTTATTTTTGTCGGCAATATTCACAAGTTTTCTAATTGTTTGTGGATCACCTATTATTGCAACTTCATTCAATGGATCCCGTGAAACCCATTTATCTTTGATTGTAATGTTGAAATTTATGAAAGTTGTTTAGTCAAAACCATTACTTAAGTCGGTGTGGATGTACAGTGTTCACACAAGAAATAGGAAATTGATTGATCAATTAATTATAATACCTCAACTAATTAGGAGATTAAGATGTGATACTCAGTCCGTTAGTCAAACGCAACATGAAACCTGGTATTTATGTGCATCGCTTCAAGCTGCTACACCCCATTAAAACAGCTAGGTGAAATTGTCAGGGAAAATCCCAGAGTGGATACCTCGCCTTCGCCATAGGTGACGTAATTTGGCAGAAACCAAACGAGCTTTCTGAATCCGTGCAGAGATTTCGTCAGACACCAACCCATTAGGGCTGGTCAGACTTTCAAGATAAGTGAAGTTGTCGACGCGTTCGACTATTTCACTCTCTATCCTTAGTTCAGGTATTGATGCAAGCCAGTCCTGAAGCAACAACTTGCATTTAGAGGGAGAGAAACGCATCCAATCCTCTGAGCCTCCAACTTTAAATCCAAAAGCAATAACTTTGGCTATCTATCGGTTAAATTCTCTCTTCCATTCCTTTCGTGGTTAAAAACTCTATCCTTTATTTCCCGGTTCCATTTTTCCTACACATTAATGGTAACTGACAGTTACTGGAACCAATAGCTTTATGAACACCTTCCTTTATGCTAAATACGGTAAGTTCATATTTCATCTACTAACCAAGAGTCTAAACTTTTTCCAAACTGTTTTATGGGACGACTATTAAAAGTACTTCGCCATGATATATCATTATTGGGAAATGGGGACGTACACATACGGAACAAGAGGAACGAAAAAGGCCTTCTTTGGTACCACCTACAATCTTAGTTCAAAGTATTTGTATTTTGATTTAATAGGTTTGTTGCTATTGTTCTAAAATTCATGTGACCTTTTTTCAAAATTTTTACGAAGATCCCGTCACCAAAAGTTATTTGCGTGCATGTATGGATCCAATTTTTGGTTTCCCGTCTCTTGTGCGATCTAGTTGGTCAACTGCATCTTCTCTATTGGACCAACATGGTGTATCAGTTAGGTGGTAAGTTTCTCTCTATACTATCTAAGTGTATGTGCCTTCATCTTCCAAATAAAATAATTTCAGAGGTTGTAAACACTCTAGAAAGCAGTAAATATCACATTATCTGTGGTAAATTGCTGACTAGAAGTTGACTTCATCGAAGTTAACCCCAGCTAAGACATATGTCCACTTGTAATATTTTGAGACAGTAATATCCAATATATTTTGGCTTCAAATTTAAAATTAATTAACTGGCTGGACCATAATTTATGGACAAACCAATTAGATTAGGGTGGCTACTTGTGTATCTGTGCACGAAATACATTCATCCGTGTGGCTAAATAACATTTTGACATTATCGTTGGTGTCAGTTCGTAATGACAACTTTAACTTCAGTACCGAACTCTAGCTTACAACTCTAACTCATAATCCTAATTCCTCGCACCAATTTTTAACGCTATTTTGATTTTTTCCTCAACTGAGAGTTTCTTCATTCATCATATCGTCATCATTAATTGCTATATACATAAATTTGTTTGCTTATTTTGAAACAAAAATCGTTGTACATAATGTCACTCTGCTAACTCCAAGACCTGATAAATGATGTAAAAGTATAAAATGACTGATTTCCAAAGTTTATCTCTTTTTAAAGTGTTGACTATACATAATTCCCTTAGATATATGGAATATTAAAAATGTGTAACACCCAGTTTCAAATCCAATCTTAATTCTTCATCTTTAAACACTAGTGCTGTAATTGGTACATATTTATCTTTCATAGAATAAAATGTTATTGTAAATCAATTACATTTTATACGATGATAATTTTATAAACCAAAAATAAATGTAATCATCTCGTAGGTTAGTCTACTTTTTTGATGATTCAATTCTCTGTCATTCATGATCAAAATGTTCGCCAGCCCAAGTTGCCATATGATATCGTTACGGTGGGATAAAACTACCTAGGTGAATAGAGTAAGATTTGAAATTGTCATGACATAGTGAGAAAGACTAAATATTGGTATGATTTTTAAAAAATAGGGATAAATTTATTGACTAAACATTGCAACTCAGGACTTAGCAAAGAAACATTAACTCCGAGGCGTGTTACCCAACATCTCTAGTCACTGGTCCTTGTTTTTGGGCGTATAGTTCGCAATAAAATTCCATGAGAAAATTAAGTATTTGAAAAACAACCATTAAAAACTAAGGGCCCTTGAACATACCTTCTGTCCTGTTTTTCAAACTATTCACCACCTGAGACTTTCGGGCTACACGAGAATAGTATTTGTTTCAATTAGCGAAATCGGGATATATGTAAATAAAAAGGCTCAATAGATTTCTACGATAAAAATATTAGTATGACTGTTCGTCTAAGTGTTTCAACGTATTTCTAAAGTAACAGGCTTTGTAGAAATGAAATTTTACTGATTTTCTCGTTGTTATTTTTTAAAAATTTAAAATGTTTATTTTCCGATCTTTCTTTAAAAAATAACAATAGGGAAGATGATGAAACACACGAAGAAGTAATTCAAGCTAAAAAACTTGCACGAAAACGCGAACATTCAAAAGGTACTTGTAAATTATCTAATTATTTCAATAATGCTCAGTCGAGATCGTCCACACCTGATGCGCTACAGAGACAACCATTTTTTGTACGAACTGGTCTTGTGCATGTTCAGACTATCACATAAATTTTATGAGATATATTATGTATAATTTTCTTTGTATGGATGTTTCATCATATTTCTCTAATAAAATCGATCTCTGATAACCAGTTACATTTCTTCTGTGCGATTTGTGTCACTGATCTGAAAAAAGAGGTAAAATATCAAATATTAAATATGACATGAGAATGTTTACTGTTCACCAGATAATCTCATAATTCCCCCGCAGTTGTAATCTAAATGTAACGTCAAGCCTATGCTTTTTTGTTGTGATGGAGATTTTTTTTACTGTGATAGTGAGTTTTTCTCAAACTAAGGTAAGCAGGTGTTTATAAGATGGGCAAACACAAATTCGACTTTACTTCACTTCAAGGAGATTGTACCTAGTAGAACATTTAGTCAAAAAACTATGCCAAACTAACTCAATCGGTTTTGTTTCATTCAAAAGAATCATTTATTGTAATGTTAAGGATTTCACTAAATAGAACGTGGGGATTATGTTTACATTGATACATGATCTAACACGTGAATAATGTTTATTAGTAAGATCGATATTACTACACCTTCATGTTATTCGTCCTATTTCTTACAAACGCTGACGTGGACCTGTTCAGCATGAACAAAATACAACTGAGATATTGCACTGTTGTCTTTCTATAGCTATGGTCAGGCCGTCTGAACAAACCGTCTCTTCAGCTTATAAGTATATCCACGTGATCATTTTATGGATAGGATAGTATTTCATTTGTCATGCTTACGCAAAGTTTAATACAAATGAGGATCGTCAGAAGATTCATTTAATAGAGTCAACCATGCTACAGAAGATGAAGTGGAGCTATCAGATGAAATATTGTTAAGAAATAGCTACTCATTAAAATTCATAGACTAATGAAGTGACCATGATATGTTGAGGCTTATTAGTTATTTATAACGAAGCATTAATATTCAGAGCAGGGTGTGATTGCCGTGTAATAAAATGCAGATTAAGTCAGTTGTCATCAGAGCATTTTATGTAACCAAAGTCATCAAATTGATAGGTTTTGTGACATCGCTTTGTTGGAAGTCAGTACTACAGTTGACCAGTTTCTACTACCATTGCCTCGATAAAGTCTAGTCACAAGTTTTTTCTAGATGTTTTGCAGTTAAATCAAGCATACATATTTTATCTTATTTAGTAGTTGTCAGCTGGATGTGCCTGCATTTCAGGACTCACATATAACAACAGAGACCGGTCATTTGCGGTTCTGGATATCAGCAACAAGAAATTACAAGCCTTATTGATTCATCCATACATATAGAAAAAGTTAGTGGTTTTCTGAACCAAGTGGATACCACATTGGCATTTGAAATGAAAAATATTGATTTCGAATTTGGTTGTTAAACTCACCATTGGCAGGCAGGTACATTCATCCAAATAGGACGAAACGCACTTTCTGGATTTCACTGCCACCCATACATTACGTAGACTCCAAACAACAGTAATCAATAGTTAAATAAAGTTCATGCTTGACAAAGAACCAAAAAATCTTGTAAACTATTTTGTAACATCCTGAGTGACATAAATATCCAGTAGTAATTATGATACATAAACAAAGGCGGTCTAACATTTATATGATTGGCCTCATAAAAGTAGACGTTTAATATCAATGCTTTTCTAATACTAAACATGATTTTTGAAAAGGCAGTATTTGTCTACTAAACGTATGCTTTACCGAGTCTTACAAAACGTGAACTCCTGATTACTCCTGTATGATTATAAACTGTCGAGTAGTAACTTGGGTTTTCGCAATGAATGCATAGTTTGAAGTAGAATATTCATGTGTTTAGCACAAGAAAATCTTCGCATATACTGGAGGGACGTCTTACCGTAAAATAAATCGCTATTCCATGAAAAGACTTGATAGACAGAAACGTTTCCTCAAGTTGTTGACATGACAAACTTTAAATAAGTTTATTGACACACAATCAATGTTTTTACTGGATCTGTTATGATAAACTTTTGTATTTTTCATAGAAATAGCTAAACTAGAAAAATGTATACATAATTCCTAAAAATATAACTGTCATGATTGGTTCTAAAGTGTATATATTACTCCAATGTATCATTATAAAACGAGACAATGGCTTTATTGGGATATGTAGATTTACTCTACGGGCTTTTATAAATACATAGATCGACTTATTCATCATTGTTATATATGTTGAAAACCATGTTGTCACAATCCTACTCAACTGCTGTTGTCATCCTTCACTTGAAGTTCTTTTCTACTTGATTTTTTACATCAGAATTCAAGGACCAGAATAGATAAAAACTCGTATCGATCGCGTTTTTTGTCCTATTTATGGTTCAACTTACTAAAACTTCATTAGAAGCAAATTTTAGTCCTATGCTTTTTAAATTTAAATTCGTCGCATAAATTGATGGACAAAAAACCTTATTTGAATAATTTTACGTAGAGATCTTTATCTATTTATATCAAATAATTTAACTACTAATATTATCAGTTAACAAACATAGTGGAGCGATTGAACTGTATCCGCCTAACTTAGTTCTGGTCAATCCAGTTCACCAACATAACTATTTAATCGAGAAAATAGTGTTTAACAAAAAAAAGATCAATGTTATACGAATACGTTAACAAGCTATATTTTTGGCATAATAACGTTTAAATCCCCCCCCCCAAAAAAAATAAACCAAACAAATATGAATCTGTTAACTAGTCAAAAAGTACTTTAAAGTATATTCAATCTTCAGTTCTCTGGTCTATCCGATGGTCTTGGTGACATCTTTTTACAAGATACTGTACAGATTGAACGTTGAAATCCATGTCTAAAATTTCGCAAAAATATCAAGTACAGGAAGAAATTGACTGCATAAGTAATATCTTTAACAGATGAGAAAAGTCTGGACAAATCAATAATACACATTGCGTACGGTTTATGCCTATCCACATGTGATAAAGTTAGACTTAGTCGTATTAATACAAAACATACCATCGGTAGGTACAATAATAAGAATGCAGTACTCAAAGCTAAATGTCCAAAAACTCGTCCCATTTCCATACGATTCCGCGAAGAGTCAGCCGGTAATAAAGCTGTTCGATTAACTTTCAATTTCCATAATTCAATACAAATGAAAACATTTAAAAATAATACAAGACAAAATGGTATTGTGAACGTGACGATTGTTTCAAATGTTATGGTAAATTTTGCTACTGGATGTTCAGAAATCATTCTACAAGTAAAATTTGTTCGACTCGATGTATCAACCATTAAAGTTTGTACAAATAACAATGGTGAATTACTAAGTATTCCCATTGAATATACAAGAATACATGCAATCAAAGCCCAATGTTTATGATATATTGAATAGAATTTAATCGGTTTATGAATAGTTAATAGACGATCAATTGAAAAAATCACAATTAAATAAGATGATGTAAAGTACATAGTATTCGATATATATTCAACACTTTTACACCAAAATGTTGAAATTGTATCTAATTTAAAATAGAATTGATGATTTGTTGCATAATATAGACCACGTCCAAGAAAATCATCAATAAATGTATTCATAATTAATGTAATAATATTAGCAATAGCTAAAAAGATTGAATAAATTGAAAATCTTGATAATTGTTTTTCTTTTAAAAAAATGATCACAATAAAACTATTTCCTATGACACCGATAATTGCAATTATTGGACATATATATGCACGAAAACTACCAACCAAATTACTGTAATCTGTAATTGTAGTATTATTTGACATTTCTTTTGTTATTAATTATTATAGTTCCGTTTTTTATAAATGAAATATAATGGAAACTATAAAAATAACATGATTGCGTTTGTTTTGTTTACTGGTGTGTGCATAATGATGATGATGCTCAAAAGTTCTTTCAAACTATATGGATATTATAGATGTATATATATATATATATGTGCTCCAAAAATCAATAAACTTTCCTTCCTTCCAATCAAATAAATTCCACTTATTTTTTTTATTTATTTCATCATAATAAATAGTTCATATTATCTATTCAAATAAATCGATAATTCATTAAATTAGTTTATTGTATTTAAATTTTAGTTTATAATACAAAAAAAAATTTTTTAACTGAACAAATTTTATCCTTTATTGATCAATATTATATACAATCGATCAATATATTTCTCTTTGGGAATATAAATGAATAATACTCATTGATTGAATTGAATTTTCGAATGGATAAAATAGTATAGTATAGTATAGTATAATAATAATAATAATAATAATAATAATAATAATAATAATAATAATAATAATAATAATAATAATAAAGGTTTATAGAATCAAATAAATGAATTTCACATTTAGTCTTGATAACTGCTCATCAATTTTTTTTCTAAAAGAGTAATATGATTAAAAATAACAATATAATAGTATATGGGGTTGTGAAGATTGTTGAGTTTTTTTAATTGAGATCATGAATGAATCAATGTTAATCCATCATTGTAAACCTGAATGTCTTTTAATGGCCCGGGATCTGACTTCAAGTAAATCGTATGATTGATTGTTATTGAAATATATATATACTTATTTATTTTAACACATAGATATTGGTACAATGAGGCACCAAATACATATGCACCACACAAATATCATTCGATATGTGTGAGGGCTGTGATACTGCCCAGGTGCCCAAACCGAAGCAGGTGGTTTTCTTAGGGGGCCACTCCTCGAGCCTTCGACCTGAAGGTCTGATCCATAAGGCAGTGGAGCATCGTAAGGAGATGCATTCCCATGGAAGCCGGTGACCAACAATTGGTTCATGCACCATTTGTTCCCTTAGGATACTGGAGCCTATGTGCACCATTGATTTGTAATCCGGTTAAAGCGCCAGACATTCGCTTTTCGTTCTCTCATTTTCGTGAACAACAGTAGTGCCACGAGAAGACAGTGAGTAGGACTTCCCTGGCAGAGGCTGTATACGCGTGGCCGTGTGAGAGCATTTGGAGAGGGAGAGCGGACTCTCCCCACTCTCGGCCGTACCAGGGCATTTGGGGTCGATATATATATATATATATATATATATATATATATATATATATATTATATATATATATATATATATATATATATATTGCCTATCCTAGTACGTAATCATCGACTTAAATCGCATTAGTCAATAACGGAATTAAATAAGTCAAATAACGAGAACGAATTTCGAATACGTATATTTCATACAATCTTTGATCCAGACAAAATATCGGAGAAGTAAAGTGAAATGACGCGCGGTGGAGAAGGCGTGTGAGCTAACTTTCTTTCGTCAAGTGTTGATCAATATTTATAGTCACACAAAATTAAGCTACAGACATTTGCTGAATAAGATAGGAAGGGCACATACATAATGCGCTCATACAAAAATAGTCAAGATTGATTAGCGAATAATTAACAAGGTCAAGAGGTGACTCAAGTAGAATGAATAGATTGGCCTGTCCGAAAGATAGAATAAGGTATATTACTTACTTACTTACGCCTATTACTCCTAATGGAGCATAGGCCGCCGACCAGCATTTTCCAACACACTCTGTCCTGGGCCTTCTTTTCTAGTTCCATCCAATTCTTGTTCATTTTTCTCATGTCTATTTCCATTTCTCGGCGTAATGTGTTCTTTGGTCTTCCTCTTCTCCTCCTTTGGCCTTGAGGATTCCATGTGAGGGCTTGTCTTGTGACGCAGTTGGGTGCTTTCCTCAATGTGTGTCTTATCCACTTCCATCGCTTCTTCCTTCTCTGGGATCTGGTTTGTTCTTTCCCACAGCAGGTTGTTGCTAATAGTGTCTGGTCAACGGATCTGAAGTATTTTGCGTAGACAACTGTTAAAAAACGCCTGTATCTTCTGGATGATGGCTTTCGTAGTTCTCCAGGTTTCTGCCCCATATAGTAGAACTAATAAGGTATATGGGTTTAACATAATAACCGACACTATAGTCTGTTTCGTCTTAGTATGGGACTCTTCAGTGATAGTGCTCATCCACGATCCAGCACGCGACGCTTTAACCCATATTTTTCGGTCTCGAGAGTGAATGTGTGAATGAAACAACTGTCCAGTGCTTCTAGATTTTCATTAGTGGTCTAAGATTGATCCATTCATGATAACAATTTAAATTTGATATACGTTAATTGATGAAGTTTAGATAAGAGTAGTTCAAAATAGAAAAACATAAGAACTGGAATATGATATAATGTATGTTATTAAAAAATGGCAGTTAAAATTAATAAGTACTTTTACAAATAAACATGTAAGATTTAGTATTGTATCCGAAGAAGATTAAATTATGGGTAACGTCTAGGAACTATTTATAGACTGTTATTATATATACATTCTTATTGTATATTTATTAATTAACTAATATTATATGTATATTCATATTCCTCTTATTATAAGCTCCCATTTGACCTACTGACTACTATTATACGATTAACTATTTTTAAGTTATTCCCAATCTACTAATTACAGTCTTTCACAATCTTAGCCACTTTTGGCCTGATCTTGTATAATTGTTATTTTCGTTTTTATGGTACGATGTGGTCTGATTTGTTCGTATATAAACCAAGTATACCTGAAATACGTGATTCATGTAACGGAGGCTGGTAATGGTGTTCTGGACTAAACCGGATGGGTTAGGTGAGAAGCTGCTATCTTAGTGAACCAGTAAAAACTCAGAGTTGATTCAAGGCTGCTTGTACTGGTTAACGCGTCACTGATTTGGCACAAATCCAAAGTTATATAAGTCGATGTTATAATTAGCGATTTAGTCACGTGATATATTAGCAGGTCCATGGGACATAACACTCAGGATTTTCAGAGCACACTTAGAGCTTTACTTCAGAACAGATAAGCTGGGATTCAGTGGTCTATATTCCCAACTTTGGTTAATTTTTTATACAATCCGACTATAACCTACTGCGATTTTACCACTTCGTATATGATTGAACTCCATTGGTCACCGTTTGACAATATGATCACTTGAATTCATCTCCAAGCTAATCAATAGTGAACACGTTTACTTGGCAAGCGAAGAGTTGTATATTGCTAAAACTTTTGTTGTATACAGAGATTCGCAAACTAAACGTACAAAAGAAACATAATCAACTCGCTTCCCGTTATTGTTTTAATCACTACTAATAAAAAAAATCACGAACATCATTTTCGTTAAATTCACTTGGTATTGTTTTGCTTGTTTCTTCACATTGAGGTTTAAGACTGTGGTTGATCAGTCTGTTATTGGCAAATGTGCATAGTGTGTTTATGCCTCGATATTGCCTTAACTCACAAGCTTTTATAAGCAAAGATGGATAGTGGCTAGCAGTGGAATCCAGGACGCGTGTTTCGCTCTATTTGGGACTCGTTGGCTGGACGTACCTGAATCTCAGAATTGTTGTTCACTCTGGTACTCTCACCCAGGCAATGTTGAGGCATAACCACAGGATGCACATATACCAATAACATACTGATCAATTGCAGTCTTAAACCTCATTGGGAAGATACAAGCAAAACAATACCAAGTGAGTTTAAATTCACCCCATCGCACAAGCAAGTGGCTATCAGGACTCAGTAGCTGAGTGGATAACGCGATGGCATTAGATGTGAATGGTACTGAGTTCGAGTCCCAGGGCAAACATCAACTCTGAGATGCAGGTACGTCCAGTCGACGAGCACCAAATAGGACGAAGCGCGCGTCCTCGGTCCCACTTCTAGCCACTATCTATCTTTGCTTATAAAAACTATTTTCTTTATGTCATTATTTTATTCTGCTATCCGACTTACTCCTATTTTCGTACAGTACGTAGTGATATGCATATTTCAAATTAATCTTTCTGTCACATAACCTATTTTTGCAGGAAATTAACAGCTCAATTAGTGTTAAACACTTCAATTTAATCTCACTATTTTTGATGAAGTTAACTAAGTGCGGTTAAGTGGTCAAGCGTCTGCTTCACGCTCAGTAACTTACCATGTACATGTCTTGCTTCTTCAAACATTTTGACAGCCACTTCAGTAATCTAGCTCTCACATACTTTATCCTTAAAGATGGTTAAGATAGACTTATCTTGTAAATAATTCTTGTTATTATTCACAATTCATAATTTCATTTAATTTGTGCAATGAGTGATACTGACAATCAATTATTGTTTAAGTTTGACCTTTAACTTTTGCAGTTCACACCATGAGGTCGTAGGATAATATATAACATAGATCGTATACCATATAGCCTCCTATACGCGGATGTTTTTGAACCACCTTAAAAGACTCTCCACTACGTAAGGCCACTTGAACCATGAACTAACAGTTATAAAACGTAGACCTGCGTTGTTACACTTAATTTGAGAACCATACGGTTTAATAATGGTACCAATTCCTTGAATTTTCTCTTTACAACCAACGTTCACTTAGGGGAAAGAAATGCGTATTTACGCCGTCCAATAGGTATCTCTTTGCTTTGTATGTAGACGCAGTGAGTACATGTTATCTTAACTTCTCATAATTATGCTTTTTTACACGTTGAAGAGCTTTTAAGGCATTTTCGAATTTCTCCTATGTCAAGAACCTTTGAGATAGGGTTGCCTGGCGAAAAGTATCGGTTAAGTCTTTCGAAATACTCTCAAAAATGCCTGACGCAGTGTTACTATTGAATAAATGGAGAGTAAATCAGGGAAGTTACAAAAAGATGAATTATATGAACTCAGTTAATGCTAGCCATAGGTCGTCAATTAAACATTTCAAAACAAAAACGCACGATACATGTGGTTGTTTGTCATTTGGTGTTTCTTAAATTATACAGAACTCTTAAAGGGGCACATACTACCAAATTAAGCTAGCTAACAAACACATCCCCGACCTGATGCACTTCAAATATGTAATGACCGCCTTGAGGTAAAGCATTCACTGTCACTGAAACGAAAAGTGGGTTACTTCATTTATGAAGAAACTTTAATTCTGTATCTTGTTGTTGTCAAAATACACCGCTGCTCATATCATTTTTTGTTCTTATTCAGTCAGCTCCCATATGAACAGATCACTAATATGATTGTCATCCATGTCTACAGATTACACATTTTTCATTACTGGATTATATGTGGTATAAAAACTTGAATTAAATGTTATATTTTGGGATTACTAATTATGTGCTTTGATTATGGATCAAGTGAACACACCCCTTAGTTAACAAGTAATGTCCGGATTATACCCGTGTATTTATTTTTATATATCAATAACTGGTTTTACACAATATTCTTCAATAAGTTTGCAACTATATTTTGGTATTTGTATTTTCGATCCTCTATATATACTACGCTCTCGTGATCAGTTTACAACTTCTTCGTTCATGATAGTTAATGGTGTACACGACATATCGTTGTGCAAGATATTAGAGTTGTTAGATTATATCAGTTTCATTTAATCTTGAGAATATTTGTTAAGTGATTAGTTTTCTGATATGATACTGTTTTGTGTGACAGAAAGCAAACAATTTAAATGATTCAGGATATATTGTCAAAACTACCAGCTCACTAATAAAGAATTTGTGGGTCATAGATAAAAATAGAAAAAAATATTAACAGTCGCTTTCATATCATCCATTACTCCATGTTGGTCAAAAAGCGATCGGTTTGATTTGATCAAATGATAATTCTACCAACTAATCATAATTTATTATCAGAAGGGGGATTTGTGGAGATTTTAGTATTTTTAATAGTTGAATTCATGAGTCAGTTGAAGCTAGACCATCATGGACGGCCGTCCAGTGCTTCTAGGTTGGTCTAGCTTCAATTGACTTATGAACTCAACTATTATAATCATAATTTAGTTGGTCTGATTATAGCATTTTCTCGAATAATTCGATGCAAATCAAACGTAAAGGAGACATTTCAAATAATTGTATTGACTCTAAAATTTGCTATTTCTATCAGTGACAAGTGTAATTCAGTTGACGAAAAAAACAAATGAACACTTGATCGTAAAGATGACTTTTTTCATATTCAACATCATATTATTTGACGATAAACTAAATTGAACATCTAAATACTTTTAAATAACCTAACAAAACACCATTTGTTCGAACACGTGAAACACGAATACCATTATCATAAATCATGCATATGAATTTAAACTTTTTTAGTTTATATTCCTCATCAAATAAATTAAAAATCTATAAAATTAAAAGGAAGATAACATTTTCGTTAGGTATTTTATGAAGACTAATTTAATGTTCGCGGTAGTTTTGGGAGTGAACTGTCATTGTAGTGAAGGAAAACTCAGATTGCAGAAAACCAGTTTCATATAACATACCCAATTACACAGTGGCTTATTGAAATATGAAAATCATATATTAAATACATCATTTGAAAAATCTCTTTGTTTTGTGCTTTACATACTCCATTATTCCCCTAATTCTGTTGTTATTTTGATTGCTTTCCGATTTGCTTTATGTTCATTTTATTTAAATCTTCTGCAAACAGGCATTCCGCTTCTGATTGCTGCTACATACTACGTATATCAGTCAGCATAAATAACATGCACCACAATACTAGTTAGGAAATCAGCGAAGAAAACTTTCTTTTCGACGAAATCGTTTACTTAAGCTCTACATTCGTATATATAGTTATATGGAAAATGTCTATAGGAGGATAGAAAAAATCGCATCACAAAAATGGATTCGAGGATAAATAATAAATGAGGTTACGTACTGATCAAGGGGTAAGGAAGAAAATCGTTTAGTACGTAACCTCATTTGTTATTTATCTTCGAATCCATTTTTGTGATGCAATTTTTCCTATCCTCCTATAGACATATATTTTCCATACAACTATATACACGAATGTACAGCTTAAGTAAATGATTTCGTCAAAAAGAAAATTATCTTCGCTGAATTCTCTTTTTCTTATTCAATAACACTGGATTATTTTAACTATTAGTTAAGAAATCCTCAAGTGATCAAGATACTTCCAACTTTTTCATCCTAGTATGGAACTCCTGACTAATGTCTAACCAGGACATCAACATAGGATAGACCACATGGTCTCCCAGTCTAGTGACGTTCAGGATATCCTTGAATTGCTGAATGAGACTTTAATTAACTATGGTTTTAGCTGCAATTCTTCTATGGTATACAGCAACTTTTGGATTCCTAGCTACAGGCTTTGGAAGATCGTGGTCTCTAAGAGACCTGGAGGTCATTGGTTCTTTTCTAATGGAGTCGAGGCTGATACCTGTTGAAACGACAATTACTTAGTGTCTACTAACTTTCACTAGTTCTGAAAATGATGCTTTTCAGTGATAAGATATCTCCCAAAACTTCATAATTCATAATCAGCTATTTCTAAGTGAGTGCTTCGTTTCATGAAACACAAACGTAAACAGAAGTTGCTAAATCACATGTCGTTTAGTCAGATACGTGGGAATTCATTATGAATAACACTTTAACTCTCTGCAAACTTGTCAAGACCACATCTTTTTAATCATTACAATTGCTAAATGTTTGCGAACAAAAATATAAAATATGAATCATCAGGTATCGGATCAATAGAAGTATAGTTTTTTAAACACTAAATTGTTTGCACGTTTAAACAACAATCTGTAACTATACGAAAGTGAACTAAATAACTATTTTTTAATTTTTAAGTAGTAATATATACGTAGAATGTTGAACTAATCCACAATATTTCTAATGTTCACTAGGTAAGCCGTATAAAACACTTTTGTTCATTTTTTTATTCCTTAGGTAAATGCTGCTTATTAGAGAGTAATTTTAACTTAGTTTACAACCGTGCTGAATGGTTATACGTGTCAAATACTAAACAGTAAATAAAACAATGCCAATTAATGTTCGTAATCAAACATAACTTCAAAATATAATACACACCCTTATGTTAATAAAGATGCCCCCAAATGCCCTGGTACGGCGGAGAGTGGGAAGAGTCCGCTCTCCCTCTCGAAATGCTCCAACACGGCCACGCGTATATAGCCTCTGCTTCGGAAGTCCTACTCATTGCTTTCTCGTGGCCGGGGTATTGTTTACGAAATTGAGAGGATGAAAAGCGAATGTCCGGCGCATTAACCGGGTTGGTGGATACGGAGGGTTCACCTAGGGGAGTTGGAAAACCCTGATTTCAAACCAATGATGCACATGGGCTCCAGTATCCTGAAGGAAAAAATGGTGTACGAACCAATCTTTGGTTACCGGCTATCATGGGAATGCATCTCCTTACGATGCTCCACTGCCTTATGGATCAGACCTTCAGGTCGAAGGCTCGAGGAGTGGCCCCCTAAGAAAACCACCTACTTCGGTTTGGGCACCCGTGCAGTATCACAGCCCTCACACATATCAAATGAGATTTGTGTGGCGCATATGTATTTGGTGCCTCATTGTACCAATATATGTGTTAAAATAAATAAATAAATAGTAAAGATAAACAGTTGTTAGTTCCTACTGTATTGAAAACATCCTTTGAATACAACTTTGTTATTGAGATAGTTTACCATTTAAAGTGTAGCGCAGAAACACATTCTGATACTTTAAAATTTGTACAGAAAATTTCCCTACTGTATTCAAACAATTTAGTATTGAATAGAACAACTCAATAAGATAAAGATAAGCAGTACTAATGATAATGATATATAGAATGACATTGAACGATTTGAATTTGCTTCTTTTTTTCTTTCTTGTAAAAACAAACAACCTATAACATCTTGAAAGGTAACGAATATTAAAACCAGTTTTGTTTTTGGTTTAGTTGATAAAAAAAAAAGAACAAACATAAAATCTGTACTGTTTTTCTCATGGATAAATAAATAAATAAATAAATCACTAAACATTTTAAAAAATGGAGGATTCTATGAAAGAAATAAAGAGAATCTGAAACGTTTCAATAAAACAAATTATCAGAATTTTCACATGAATTAAAATTATGTACACAGAAGACAATTTGTAGACACAGTTTATAAATTGAAATATAAAGATTAAACACAATGAATCATTTGAATTAGGATGAGTGTAGGAAGAATAAAACCAGAGCTCAATAGTACTTGTTGTTGTATTGTTTATCACCAGGATATAGAGAAAGTTGAGTATAAAAATAAAAGTGAAATATTATTATTAATTTCTTCTTTTGTATCAGTCACAGAACAACAACTACTACTGTTCCTACTACTATTAATAGTGGTTAGGTTAGTAGTAATAGGCTTGAATATTGTCTCTACTCATGGTGGATTGACACTATTTTGTTCAAATGGTTGTTTCATGTTCTTGTTGTTTTTGTTGTCGTAGTCCAGATGTTTTATTGTCACTATCATTATTTTTCTCGTCATCATCATCCACATCTTCCTCATCACTATTTCCTAAATCTTCTTCTGATGTTAAGTGATAATATTCTCGTGTAGATGAAGAATATAATCGATCACTTGGATTATATTCAGATGAAGTTTCCATAATTTCACTACTAGTTATTGAATCAATTAAGCCTTTGTGTTGAAGAGATGAAAAATAAATGAAAGAATTAAATTATTGTTTCTTTTTTGAAAAAAAAACAAACACTGATTATAATTAAATTCACTTGGTTTTCTTTGCTTGAATCTTTCCATTGATGTTTAAAACTGCAATTGATCAGTCTCTCATTGGCATGTATGCGTTCTGTGCGGATTACCTCGATACTGCCTTAAGTCATAAGGATTATAACCAAAGATGGTTGGTGGCTAGCAATGGAACTCATGATGCGCATTTCATTCTATTTAGGACTCGTCAGCGGGATTTACTGGCATCCCAGATTTGATGTTCACTCCAGGACTCGTACACAGTAACGTTCACTCCAAAAGCCATCGCTTTATCCACTTAGCTACTAAGTCCTGATAGCCACTTGCTTGTGCAATGGGATAAAGTTTAAATTCGTTTGGTATTGTTTGCTCGAATGTTCCCATTGATGCTTAGGACTGCAATTGATCAGTCTCATAGAGTGAACATCAACACTGGGATGCCAGTACATCCAACTGACAAGTCCTAAATAGGATGAAATGCGCGTCCTGAGTTCCACTGCTAGCTACCATCCATCTCTGATTATATTGATTATAATTTCTAGAATAATAAAAAGCTTTAGAAAGTCTTATTAAAAAATAGTTCTGTGCACTATGAAGCTAAGTTGCATACATTCAGTGTGAAAGTTAGGCGAAGTGGCGTTTGAAGTTTAATTATTGATCTGTAGTAATCAATGTACAGTCACGCATAAATACGTTAACTCAACTTACCACACCAGATTAATACGGGGAGATATAATTAACGAGATGAATAGCAAAAGAGTATAAATATTGATAGTAGCACTGATACTGAGAAAGATTCAACGCTGGAAAACATGATTTTAGAGGATGAAATTAAAAAGTATAAATGAAGGGATAGTAAAACTCAGGATCTAAGGGAACATTAAGGAGTGAACCAAATTTTCTCATTGTGACTGATACTAAGCCATACCATACGTCTCTAATGGACTAAGTTTATCGCATGGAACACAACCAAATAGACTAATACGCTTCAAGGGCTGATTCCCACTTCTTGGTATGGTCGCCTCCGTAGCCTTATTCCAAATTAATCACATTATAGTAAACATTCCACACCAAGATAGGAGGTAGTTGGATATAAGTTCGAAACTACGACCAAACAGTTTGTTTGAATCACCGAGCCATCATTCCATTCAGTCACAATTTAGTCCTAAATTAAAGCGATACTACATGAGCCCCTACATCGAAACGGTGGGAGCGTGATGTAAATTTGTAGCTAAATCATTGAAGATTCGTTTGGTTTAATTACTTAACCACTGATAACAATTCTGCAAAGAAAATGTAATCCTAGATTGTCACAAAATAGGTGTTTGCATAAGAAAAGATAAAATCGATATCCCTATAAAATAGTGAAAACCTCTCAACAAGAGATATTTGGTTAATCTAGATTATGACGGAAAAGAAAACGGTCATGATGATAGTGGAATGAGCTGTGCAAAATAATCGTGGAAATCGAGAATTACAAGAGAAAAAGGAAATTAATACATCTCTACAAACATTATTCACTGAGAAATCATAAGTTTGATTCCTGGCGAGATGTAACTTTATACAATGTTCAGTATTATCAAATCAGATAAAAAATTGTACAATACTTAATGGTTTTCAATAGTTGACATTCGAAAACGAAATTTAATGTTGCATATTGTTTTGTCGTCAGTCTATGCAATTCAACGGATCATATGAATAGTTATATAAATGATTCGATAACTCAGAGTTGATCTGATCTAGATTACATAATTGTGAATTCTCACCAACCAAGTATTTCGAAAAATTTAAAGAAGATAATGTGGCCACAAGAATCCAAATCTACTTCACTTTCGTTACAGACTTTTTAGATAAGTAAGCAACCAAAATTCTACAGATCACCAAAACTCAGATCTTTAGATTTCATGTCACTCTACCTAGGGGAGTTGTAAAATTTTGATTCCAAACCAATGGTGAACGTGGGCTCCAGGATCCTGAGGGAACAAAAGGTGTATGAACCTATTGTTGGTCACAGGCTACTATGGGACTGTATCTTCTGACGTTGCTCCACTGCCTTGTGGATTAGACCTTCAGGTCAAAGACTCCGGGTGTGAATCCCTAACAAAAACACCTACTTCGGTTTGAGTGTCCGGGCAGTATCACAGTCCTCAAACAAATCAATAATAACTACTACTGGTCTCATTGTTATTGTGTGACACATGTATTTGATGCCCCTTTGCACTAATGTTTATATGTTCAAATAAAAATAAATGAAAGAATGGAAAAGATAACCAATGTCCTATGATTTTTGATGGTTCACCAGCAAAATCGTATCCATTATGGAAGTGTAATATGAGAATAGTGTTCATTTAAAATATGTGATGTATTTGCACAAGACACATTTCACAAATAATTTGATCATACCAACACCAGTTAAGCATTCTCACTAAAAAATACTAATGATAGTCACTTATAAATAAAGTGATAAGATTGAACGTGAGAGAAATAATATCAATACAGAAAGAATAAGTTGTCACACCGCTTCAGGTATGAGAATAGATTAACCGTTATCAGATTAGGTGGTTTAAGATTAGAACAAATTGTTTTTCAACAGATAAATTTCCTAAAGGGCAGGAACTTACACAAAACCTAAGTATATGTGCCACATAGTAATTTCTGTTGTTTTAATATTTTTTGTTATCGAGGATCATGACTTTCTACCCTGCATTCACCATATGACGAAGTTAACTTATCTTGATGCCATTTAAACACCGATTCCAGCAGCCCTGACTGCATCATCCTATTACTCCACTCTATGTATGTGTGTCTATACACATGTGAATTGGTAGATGACGTAATCATTCATGTGATATTGAGGCCCATATTGAAACATGGGCTTATTCCTTCCAATGAAATTTAATTAGGTAGCACAATATATCCTTTTGTCCGTTTTGCATGCAATTAAAGACTACGCTGTATGATTCTTCACTATACGCTAAAGCGATGTTAGAAAGGGCTTAAATGTTAACTAAGTTACATACTAATCTACAAACTTTAATGGATATCCGTTTAATATTAATATTCCAATCGTGCATACATTTGATAAAGGAATGCATCAAAATATCATGTGAAATTGAAGTGCAAATTATAAGTAGTAGCAAAATCTTTTAGGTACACACATAAGTACAATGTTTATGATCATATGACTTGATTAGTAAAAATGAAAATATTGCTAATATTCGGAAATAGTAAATATTTACAGTACTACTGATTATATAAGTGAAATCTACAACATTGACATACAGTACAAGATTTTTTTCTTCACAGACAAATATGTTCACCGTACAGTGACATATAAAAGTTATGGTATTGAAAGTTCACTGTGAAGTGTTGGCGATATACATAGTACTGAATTAAAAATGACATAGATATATACAGACCTTAGTTGTTTTCAGTGATTATTCTCAAACGATTATATCAACTTAGAATAAATGGAAATCAAATATAATGGTAAATAGTACCAGTTACAACGAAATATTTCGTTTATATATGAATATCAATGTAACAAACTAAATACTTTGAATTGGAAAACACCACATACAGTTGATTTAATGAGGCGAATAGTGTGAAAGTACGACTGATAGGACTATCACACGAATAGTTACTGTTTATAATTTTATTGTATAGTTAATGGACACCTGAATTGTTTATTATTACATTATCCTGTTTTTAAACTTTTATTTAACTCACATATCATTGTCATGTCTTATTATTCCTGATTTATTACTAGTTAATTATTCCCCCACTGCCACTGGTTTTGTATCACTTACAACCAGGTTACTTACACATTGTGATTCGTTAATTGCATGGATGTGTGGTCTGACACTTTAGGTACATAACTGAACGAGTTTTTAGTCATGATTGATCTGAGTACACCAGAGAACTGATCTGCTTTCTGTCTTCGTTTTATGACTGAATACTGGATTAGAAGTTTAAGGACCGATAATTGTTAAGGTCTTGGTTATTGTTCACTGGTCGGTGTGTATATTGGTTTTGAGGAGATCACTGGTCTTACTGCCAATAAAGGTGCACTAATCGGTAATTATACTTGAGATAGAGGCCATATAACTTCATTCCTATCATTATGATTCAATCATACAGTAGTCCATACAACACAGGCAATCTGGTTGTTTTTCCGATATAGCAGTAATATCACAGTTTAATATAGTTTTTGAACATATTTATGATTTGTGTCTTTGTAGAATGAAATATAAGTTGATTGAAATTACTAACCAACATACTTTATTTCACTGAATTTACAGTTAAGTGATTATGAGATAAGTTGCTAGATCGAGTTAATCATTAAATCTTGATTTTCGTAACACAATAATCACAAGTTACTTTGAAATTACGAACTAATTTAAGCCCAACCACCGTTTAAAACCTAGAACTACTGAACGGCCGTTTCATACTAGTATGAAACTCTTCAAAAGTACAGATACACGACCCTAAAACCGGGAATAGAAACCTTAGATCTCGCTCACGAAGTCTTAACCTCTATACCACTGACGCGGTGTCCATTAGTGCACAAAGTTTAGCTTCAATCAATTCCTGATATTTTGCGACCATTTTCCATTCACTTTGGTATGTGTCTTCCCCACACCCAACACGGCTGAATCCTAGTGGTCACGACTTCTCATAAGAACGCGAGAAATTTCATTTTGAAGCTGGTCACTAATGATAACATGATTCACACTGATGAGTACTATACCATCCAGTGCTTCCACGTTTTCAATGGTTATCTAACTTAGATCGGTTCGTGATTTCAGTGAAGTCCAACAGTCTCTTACCCATACTAGCAATCATAAGTTAGCAAGAGAAAGTTTAATAGGTCATAGAACATTACACTTGTCACGAAAGACTAAAATATTTATGAAAGCAATAGGGATTTAACTAGCAACTTTTAGGTCAGTCAGTCATATATTTAGGATGAATTTTAGGGAAATACGATTGACTTGAAAAGTCAGTTACAATCAACTTAGAGACAAAAATGCATCGATTCAAGTTGCAATAGTGAGATGAATATCAGAGCACTAGAAGCAGCTATAGTATAGTAAAGAAGACAAGGTTTAGACGACCTGACTCGAGAACAATGAATGAATTCGAGGAATAAAATGCATAAGATAATTCTAAAATTCAGGATTTAGGGGGAAATAGTGATTGCATCTGAGCTACGTCATTCAATATTAACCATTTTTACGGCAATGAGGCGGATAGTGACCAAGAATTCTACATTTGCCAACAAGGGTTAATCCAATTGTCAATGAATTCATGGACCGATATCACATCTTACATTGGTTATGGTTATACTTGGAATTTTTTCAACAAATCCCTACACTGGTAAACGTTGCTCGTTTTTATAAGCAGTGGTCGGGCATATGTAATACATGTTATAATCACCTAATTAAACAAGCATTCACAAGATTTGAGTAAAAGGAACAGCTAGAAATAAAATAACTTAATAAAATAGGCGCTTGTTTATTTTGAGCTCAAGTTCTATTCTATGAGTAGTTCCCATACAGATACCTCCTACCCAGATGATACAAAAAGCTACCCAGCATAGGATCAAACCAATGCATGATATCACATCTTGAAGTCAATGACTGATGAGTTACACCGCGTTTGAAAACCCAAACTTCTTGGTTGAAATCAGTTTCCACACCCAAGTAAATGTGTTGCTCGGAGTAGAGTACAAAAAACTTTATTTCGTACATAAGTTACATCATTACTTCAATTCATTTTCTCCACAACTTGTCAGTATTTTCTTGTTCTGCTAGTGTGACGTGAAGCAAATTGTGTCAATACATATTTGTGTCAGGTCCTGAGCTGTTAATTGCCAAGTAATTAATTGGTATAGGGATGAAATTCAATCTTCTGTATGGAACAATTAGATACGAGCAGAAATGTAACTTATTCGCCCTTGGAAAAAAATTACCACATTAGTCTACGACTTTCTTCAAGAGTATTGCTGAATTGTCGTCCTTTTCTATGAATAAACTTAAAAACTGCAACATATGAATTCCAAACACAACAATCGAAACCCTTTCCAAATTAAAAAAAATACAAACAAAGTAAAACATACCTGCCTCAAATAGAACAAGATTTGAACATTGATTTTTGCACCCAAGTAGATGATCATCAATAACAATATCATCTTTACTATCAACAGTGGTCAATGATTTTATCGTTGTATCCGTTGTTGGTGTTGTTGTGATTGTATTAACTGTATCATTTTTCATGGTTGTTTGTGGATTCATAAGGCTATCGACATGTCGAATAATGCCTTCCACCTCATTCGTAGATATCTTCGGGACACTAAACAGAGTAATAACAACAACAAAATATAGTACGAAATGAAATTTCGGGTAAAGTGGAAAAGACTGAACAATGCCTAAAAATCATTGACATTACTTCGAAGCTAGACCACCATGGAAAACCTGAGAGCACTGGACGGTTGTTTCATCCTACTGATAGGTCGTTGGTTAGAATTCCGCAAGTGAGATCATGGATCCGCACTGATGAGGAGTCCCACAATAGGACGAAATGGCCGTCCAGTGCTTCAAGGTTTTCCATGTTGGTCTAGCTTCAATTGACTCATGATTCCAACTATTGAAAGTACTAAAACCTCCTCAAAACCCCTTTAGATAATAATAATAATAAACTGGGCTTTTTTTAATCAATACATAAATTTAATAAAAATTAGTTGAATGATGGACAATAAAACATAAAACCGTGTCATTTGAATACATAATAAATTACCAGTTATTAAAAGTAATTTTCAGTAAAAACTAATTTGTGCAGCAGTGTGAATGTTCTAAATTATTAAGGTGTTAAATGTAAAGTAACTTTAAAATTGATGTAACCAATTAATAGATTACTTGTTATTGAAGTGAAAAAAACCCATCTTAAATGATAAAAAAAGGAATCTTAAAATTTTTCAATTAATTGACATATTGAGTATTAATTTATTCGTTAAAATCAAGTGAAACAATAAGTGAACAATATTGTTTTCGATTAGGTCCTCATCAAGCTTTACTCTAATATTACTTACGACTGTTACTCCTAATGGAGCATAGGCCGCCGACCAGCATTTTCCAACACACTCTGTCTTGGGCCTTCTTTTCTAGTTCCATCCAATTCTTGTTCATTTTTCTCATGTCTATTTCCATTTCTCGGCGTAATGTGTTCTTTGGTCTTCCTCTTCTCCTCCTTTGGCCTTGAGGATTCCATGTGAGGGCTTGTCTTGTGACGCAGTTGGGTGCTTTCCTCAATGTGTGTCCTATCCACTTCCAGCGCTTCTTCCTAATTTCTTCCTCCGCTGGGATCTGGTTTGTTCTCTCCCACAGTACGTTGTTGCTAATAGTGTCCGGCCAATGGATCTGAAGTATTTTGCGTAGACAACTGTTAATAAACACCTGTATTTTCTGGATGATGGCTTTCGTAGTTCTCCAGGTTTCTGCCCCATACAATAGAACTGTCTTGACATTTGTATTGAAAATCCTGACCTTGGTGTTGGTTGACAGTTGCTTTGAGTTCCAGATGTTCCTCAGTTGTAAATATGCTGCTCTTGCTTTACCGATCCGCGCCTTCACATCTGCATCAGATCCACCCTGTTCATCAATGATGCTGCCTAAATATGTAAAGGTTTTCACATCTTCCAAATCGTCTTCGTCAATTTTGATTGGATTGGTGCATGCTGTGTTGTATCGGAGAATCTTGCTTTTCCCTTTGTGTATATTGAGACCTACTACTGCTGAGGCTGCTGCCACACTGTTCCTCTTCTCCTGCACTTGTTGTTGCGTTTGGGATAGAAGGGCCAGATCATCTGCGAAGTCTAGATCGTCCAACTGCATCTTAGATGTCCATTGTATCCCGTGTTTTCCTTCAGATGTTGACGTCTTCATGATTCAGTCGATCACCAGGAAAAAGAGAAAGGGTGAGAGTAAACAACCTTACCTGACACCGGTCTTTACCCTGAACGAGTCTGTCAGCTGTCCTCCATGCACGATTTTGCAGTTTAATTCATCACAGGAATTCCGTATGATATTGACTATCTTCTGAGGCACGCCGTAGTGTCGAAGAAGCCTCCATAGTGTTGTCCTATTCACGCTATCAAATTCTTTCTCGTAGTCAATGAAGTTGATGTAGAGTGATGAATTCCATTCAATTGATTGTTCCATAATGATCCGTGGAGTTGCGATTTGGTCAGTAAACGATTGATCCTTACAGAATCCAGTCTGTTAGTCTCGAAGTCGAGCGTCTACGCAGTCCTTCATCCTGTTTAACAATACCTTGTTGAAAACTTTTCCCAGTATTGAGAGAAGAGTGATGCCCCTGTAGTTATCACAGTTGCTGAGATCGCCTCACTTTGTTATCTTGGTTAGTTGGCTTTCTTTCCAGTCTGTTGGTAGTTGCTCTTCATCCCGAATCTTGCTGAAGAGAATGTGGAGTATCCATGCATTTACTGCCACATTTGCTTGCAGTGCCTCTGCTGGAATGTTGTCTGGTCCTGCTGCTTTGCCACTCTTGATTTGCCTGATGACCATGCTGATTTCTTCAATTGTTATTGGGTCAACATGGATTGGGAAGTCCGTGGGTGCTGCTTCGATGTTGGGTAGGTTCAGTAGGGCTGGTTGATTCAAAAGTTCTTTGAAGTGTTCGACCCACCCGTTTCGTTGTTCTTCAATGTTGGTGATTACCTTGCCTTCCTTGCTTTTCAATGGTCGCTCCGGTTTACGATAACTTCCAGCGAGTTTATTTGTTGTGTCATACAACTCTAATGTTTTCTTCTCTTACAATCTTTTCCACCGTCATTGCTAAATCTTCCACATATTTACGTTTGTCAGTTCTGATGATCCTCGTCACCTGTTTGTTTAATTCTGTGTATTCAGATTGTGCCTTAACTTCCTCTCCTCTTGTTCGGCTCGTGTTGATTGCTGCCTTCTTGTTCCTCCTTTCTTGAATCTTTTTCAGTGTATCAACAGTGATCCATTCCTTGTGATGGTGCTTCTTGTGGCCCAGGACCTCATGACATGTTGAATTGATTGCTTCTTTGATCCCCTTCCAGTTCCTCTCGATATTAGTTCCTTCTCCATTGAGTAGATCAAGAAAGGCCTGGAACTTACTGCTGAGGACTATCTTGAATTAGTTGAATTTGTCAGTATCCCGAAGAATGGACGTATTAAAATTTTGTGATGTTGTCCGCCCCATTATCCAGTGCTTATTAAGTTTTAACTTCATCTTGGTGACCAGCAAGTGATGATCCAATGCTATGCCAGCTCCTCTCTTGGTTCTCACATCCTCCATTGCCCTCCTGAACTTTATTTTGATGTAGGTATGGTCGATTTGGTTCTTCGTGGTGTTATCCGGTGAAGTCCATGTGGTTTTGTGAATGCATTGAAATCCCCCATCAGAAAGGTCAGGTCCTTTGTTGGGCACTTCTCGATGATTGACTGCAGCCTATCGTAGAATTGATCTTTAGCGTCTTCATTGTAATCGTTGGTAGGCGCATAGCATTGGATGATGTTGATTGTAATCCCCTCTTTCTTTATTTACTCTAATATACGAACTAAATTTCAAAAACTCAACGACGTTAAAGACATAAATATGAAAGCAGAGAAATTGTTGACTAATTAAAGTAAAGGAATACTTATTCTAACTATACATGATTAACTTAAACCCACTGGATTGAACACATCACAACTCTATGGTTTACCCAAAGTTTACAAGACAGGACTTCCTCTTCGTCCAGTTTTAGATATGTATAATTCGCCTTACTATAAAACTGCAAAGTGGCTAATTCGAATCCTAGTCGTCAAAAAAAGTGTGAAAGACGTTTTCGATTTCATTTCTAAAGTTGAATATATGAACTTAAATGGGAAACGGATGATATCTTTAGATATTGCTTTCCCTGTTCACCAATGTATCATTAACTGAGATTATTGACTTTGTGTGTCAACAACTACTTGAAAAACGGATCAATATTGAAATCCCCGAGGTTAGTCTCAAAGAATTACTTGTGAAATGTACAATGAATGACTATTTTGTCTTTAATAACACATATTATAGACAAATTGATGATATAGAGATGGGTTCACCTCCAGGTCTTATCCTTGCTGATTTTTTTCTCGCGAAACTAGAAAACGGACCTCTCAAAAGGTTATCGATAAGCTTGACTTCTATTGTCGTTATGCTGATGATACTTTCATTATAGTCTATCAGAAAATTGGAAAAGAAGAACTCTCAGTACTATTTAACAACAAACATCCAGCAATTAAATTTACGTGTGAAGAGGAACTAGATAATAAACTACATCCTTGTCAAATGTCTTGCAAATAGAGCTAGAAAGATATGCTCGGTAGATACTGTTAACAATAAATTAGAGCTCATACATAATATGTTGAGTGAAATGGGTTATCTACAAGGTTTCCTGAAGACACACTTGTGCGTAACAAACAAGAAAATAGCTACATCAACGGCTAGCAAGAAACCTCCCTTCCTGTTATAAATCCCTCTTCTTACGGTTATGACCCAGCTATTCCTATTGCTTAGTATTCTCGGACACCGATTCACTCGACAAGTCCCCAAATCAAAACACGGTTGGACAGGAAAGAGATTATATTCCAAATAGCAAGGTTAGATGGAAGTAAGAAGCAGGTCAGAAGCACAATAGAGAAAACGTCAGTATATTTATAGTTTTTTACATGAGAAGATTCTAGAGTATTCTCCAACTATCGACTAGTGCTGATTGGATAAGAATTAGCCAATCAGCGTGCACCAAAGCAATCGTGAATTGAGCGTGCTTTAATCCGGTCTATGTCCCGCTAACACCTCCCCTTTGAGCAGATTCGTAGGATCTGATGCTAGGGTCCAACTGCAACCGAGTGAGTGGTCTGTACTTTCGATTAGTCTATCGTCTAGGCAATAGAGAAGTATCACTTTTTTCTTGCACAGAAACTGACGTGTCTATTCCCGGCGTTTTGATTTCAAAGGTGTCTAGCAGAACATCAAGAGGTAATCGATATTGAATCTTGTTGCTGGCTATCGAAGTTGCTTTCAATTGGTTAGCATGACTTACCCAAGCTTCTGAGCCAACTGACACCTCGTATACCACACTCCCCTTCTTTTTCAAGATCCGACCAGCTGTCCATGTAGGATGTTTCCCACGATAGTCCATAGCAAGCACTTTTTGTCCCACCGTCAACAATCGTCTTTGTGCCCTATGATGTCGGTTGAACTGATTCTCCATCGATAGTTTTCGTTGGGGCTCAATAGCTGGCGTAGGACGGATGACATCGAAATGTGTTCGTATCTTT